TGTGGTTGCTGTAAGTCCTTAAAAATGTCTTCTTTGCATATAAATGGTTAACCAATTTTGGTGTTTGTATTATTTATATGTTACTTTTCATTGGTTTGTCTTATTGGACCATAATGCATTGAAGTTAGATTGGTGCAACTTTTTTTCTGTAAAGAATTTTTATTAATTTCCAAGATAACTTATTTGTGCTTTGAAAATGCCCTATGAGAATGAGATTGTCATTGTTTTGAACTTTGAACATTTTCATTTGATGTGGTGTTGGCCTTTCAAAATCTGAATTGAACTTTTGCAATTTTTTTTTCATTGAAGTTTAAGGACTGGTAATCACCTTCTGTACTTTCTTTCTAGGAATAATAGCTAATAACATCTTGTGTTTTTGTCATAGAAGAGGAAGAAGAAATTAAAGAAATCATGGTCATCTGGTAACTTGCATTTCACATGATGATAATTTCAGTTCTTAGGCTTATCTGTACTGTACATGTCCAAGATTATGGAATTGCTGATAAACTTGAGATAAATAAACTCATTATTTAACACTTCTGCATTGGCGTGCGTTAATGTTGGCACTAGTATCATCACTATTTGTGGCTTGGGATGAAGTAGTTTCTAATATTAGTGTACTTCTAAATGTCGTCGATGTGTATTATAGTATTGTGGCTCCAGTTAAATTCTCTGTGCATGATTAATTAATTAATTATTTTTATTTTCGATCAGGTGGTATCTCCTTTTCCTCCTTCAGACAAAATTGGAATTAAATCAGTACAGAGGGAGACAGAAGAAATTGTTCCTATGAAGCAGATGAAAATGGATTGGGTTCCATACATCCCACTGGGAAATAGGTATTAATTCGCCCTTTGATTTCGCTATGTGTTGCTTTCCTTATTCAAATAGATGACAGTTGTACAATTTCATTATTCGACAGGGATTCTCAAGTTGAAAGACTTAAATCTCCAATTTTTATTTTGAGCTGTACCCAGAGAAGGTACAAATCTCCCTCTTGCCTTTATCCATGATTAGATATATGCTAGAGAACAAAGATTACTTCTGCTTGGCTGACCTATATTTTTGTGTTCTTCAACTTGTCTTTGCTAATTTTTTGCTGCTTTTTGGGATTCAGATACATCAACTGTACTGCCTTTTGTATTGTGATAGTCTTAAATATATCATTTTCATTAGATTGTCCGCATGTGAATTTATAGTTCTATATAATTTCTCCCTTCAAGGGGTTTCATGCGATTAGAATTTTATAGGTTCTAATATCAGTTTATTTTTAGTTTGGAGTTGCCAACTAATTTATTTAGCCACCGTTTGGTGGAGATAAAAATAAGATCTTTAGTAGATTTTGATAAAAGTTATGAAATATGTGGTTGAAAAGTCGTGGGTCCCATAAATATGTAATTAAAATTAATTTTTGATTTTAATTCGGATTTTAATCCACTATTTAAAATGCACTAAATGGAGGCTTAGTGATTGCAGTATCTTCGGCATAACATATATCCACACTATATTTTGTACAGTTGGTCCATAGGTCACAGTATCCATTGGTTATTAAGTTATTTAGTTTAATGTGTAAAAAGCAAACTTGAATAGGCGAAAGAGAGGTTTACATTCTAAAAACTGTTTTGCAGGGCTGGTCTAAAACATTTGAAGTTGGAGCGTGTGAAAAAGTTTGAGTACTGCTTACCTTGTGAGTGATTGTCTTCCTGTACAGTATTTACTATATTTCGGATATGACATGCCCCTTTCTTTTGTACTATTCGAAATCTACACTTTGGCACCTAAGATTTCTCTGTTTGCTTACTTCTCCATTAGGACGTTATTAAGGTGATGGGAATTTATTTCGTTCTATGATCATTCTGGTGTTTAATTAGCATTTGAACAATTTAGAAGTGCTTCTCTGTGATATATTAATCATCTCAATGTGCACTAAGCAGAATATACGTTGACAGTACCTTTTATGTTTTTGCAGACTTCTACCATCCCCTTCAGGAAGATGAACTTGAACAGAGCACAATAGTGCAAATTTTATTTCCAATAGATCCGAAGCCGGTACATTTCTTCTTGCAGTCCTGATAAACACGCTTCTTAGTAATCACATAATATGTTCAAGTAGCAAATGTTTAGATATTATATGAGAGGTTAGGTGAATCTACACAATATTTGAGGCAGACTTGTAGGATCAGTTTAGGGAGCTATATAAAAAATGGCAAGAAGCTAACTTTGTTTCAAACCTCTCTCCAGGTTTTCTGTGAGTTTGATTGGGAACTTGATGAACTTGAGGTATGCAATTGCAATTTATGTTTGTATATTCTGCCTGATAATTTGCAAATTTAGGACTTGTTTGAGCCCCATTTTTATTGAATAATGCATTTTGGAATAGTAGATTGATGAAGAATGCGTGGTTAAAAAATAAGGAAAAGTTTTGGGTTTGCGTGTAATATTATTTTATCGAAAAATGTGTGGTTGAAAAGAAGAGAGAAAAATGTATTTTGGAAATAATGGGGATCAAACAAAAGCTTAGATTGTAGCTTGTATGCTCCATTCACTATCCCAACTGTTGAGAACCCTCTGGCTAAGTCAAATAAATATTATGTAGGAGTTCACGGATAAACTTATTGAGGAAGAGGAGGTGGCTGCAGATCAAAAGGATGCCTTTAAGGTAATCTTCACTGTATATGCACGTTACTCATGGCAATGTTTGAAAACCCATTGGTGAGCATACTAAGAAGATTAATGGAATCCTTTTTGATTTAGGATTTTGTTAAGGAGAAAGTCCGAGAAGCCAAAAAAGCTAATCGTGAGGTACTAGCAAAAAACTTTCCGATAAAGTTCTTCTTGATCATTCTGATCATGCATGTTTTGAATTTTCCTCTATATATAGGCAAGGGAAGCTCGCAAAAAGGTGTTGGAAGAAATGAGTGGAGACACTAAGGCTGCATTTGAAAATATGAAATTCTACAAGTTTTATCCTGTGCCTTCACCTGACACTCCTGATGTATCTAGTGTCAAGGTAATATTGTGCTTCTTCCTTTTCTTTTTAATTTTCTCAGTCAGCGAAGGGCTTGTCTTTGCAATTGAATTCTTTTGAGGACTTTTTAGATATATAGGATATACTGTTTATAGTTCTAAACGCCTATCAAGTATACCTGCTTAACAGGTAATCAACTTCAGTTGAATGTGTTTGCTCAAACGCTGGTAGTTTGTTACTAGTTTCTGGTTTTGTAGAGCTAGGGGGCATGTGTTGTTTTAGTTCAATGGTAAAGAATTTGCATGTATGACCCATTGTTACACAAGGGCTTTCTTGCTGAACAGCTGGGGATATGCGGTTAAGTTATTGGGCAGTGTGACTTTCAAGAATATGTTTGTTAGTTCATGCTGAGCCGAATAGGGATATCTTTCAAACATATCTAGTTCACCAAGTTTTAGCAATTATAATGATAACCATGCCATGTGATGTGATGTCCAAAGATTAACTTGCTGCATCCTTATTTATTGAGATTCCATCCTTGGATCATGGCATCCTTCAATCAAGAAATTTCCTGCCTCCCGATTTAAGCCTCCTAAGCTAAACACAAGTATTTTTTATGGTTACTTGATTTTTTCCCCTCTTTCTCAATTAATAAATCCAATCTAACTGGAGTACTGTGGCAAAACTCACGTACATAAATTTCTGTTGATCTTTGGTGATTGTTGAAACCCCAATTAGATGCTCTTGAATAGCTCTATATAATGTCCAAATTTTCGAGTAGATAGGGTTGACAATTCTACCTGCCATGTCCTTATCCTTTTTCCGTTTGAGGAACTTTCTGTTGGGCTCCACCAGCCATCAAACTTGGATAATTATACCCAGAGCCAAAGCATTTACTTATATGCTAAAATTGCAGTCATGGCATGTATTCTTTAAGCTGTCATCGGTCTTGGTTTGTGAACCACTCAGATCTGTACGAGTAAACTTTATTTAAGTTAATGATGATCTAAGTTCTGCTCTGTTTATGTATATATTTTTCCCCTATTTCGTGAATGCATATTCTTTCTAGGTCACTTTTCTTCAAATTATTTGCAATGACGGAGATCTTTTTGTCATCCGTGTATTTCTGTCTTCCAAGGATTTTGTTCATGTTTTCACAAAATTTGATAATTGAGGTTCTGCTTAGTTATTTTTGCTTCACTGCTACGTTATAATTATAATAACAAAATATCATTGAGCTTAGTGTTCTGCAATAACATTACATGAGAAAAATAATATTTCTAACATGGCAAGAATGGCAGGACAATTACTGTACTGGCTTATGATGAGAAATTCTCGATACACAGTTTGCCCTCACATCCAGCTGTAGTTCACTTGGGACTCACATAACCGCACCTACTCGCCACCCCGGAGAACAACAAAAGCTATGTCTTATTCTTAATAAATTTGGGGCTGGCTTCTTGAACCATTCCATTCTCCATCATTACATCTACATAAAGATCCAATGAAATCAAATCCTCTGTAATCACGCCAGTTCATGTTATTTGGTCAACATTTCCCTCTTAGCATTTTCTAATAGGATCCTGGATCTCTTCGCTCTCTAGGTCTGCTTAAGACCATCCAAATAATCATCCTCCTATGTATGCAATAATTAGTAACATTTACTTTTGTGGCATCACTACTTGTGTTGGATGACCTTTGGCTATATGATTTTTTTTACTATCTTTGTGAATTAACATACTGACTTGCAAATCTGTCTATGTTGGCATTGATTTTTTTCCTTCTGTGTAGATTATGATTGATGTCATGTTCAGCTCTTGCTTAATATCTCCTTCAGACTACATTTGAAATTAGAATGGAAGGACTAGTTCATGAAAAACTTTCCTTTTGTGTATAACTGCTGGACATTCAAGGTTCTTAACATAGCAGGATCTGTGCGTTCCACTATAAATTTACTAGTAGCATGGGCCATGCCATGTTCACTTATTATCTGCATCTTCTAAATGCTCTGCTCAATTTGTCCCAGGATACCTTTAGGTTTCTTTTAGTTTTAGTGGCCTAGCTCCTCATAAAAAATTGTATTCCGAAATGAATATTGTGTTAATGAAGGATTCGCTTATTATTCTTGGCATTATCTTTTATCTCTGTAGTTCTAAGCAGTTAATTATTTGTGAGACCCCAAATTAATGTAACACATCCGATTTGGAATTTAAATATGGGCTTCAAGGAAGTGGACCTTCTTTGCCCTAGCATGACATCATCTAATGCTCATTCTTCATTTCAATGGGTAAAATTAGCATTGTCAATTCTCGGTAATTTCCCAAGCTTCTGAGTTTTGATAGCTAGGCCTCCTAGACACCAAATTCTGAAGGAGGTTTCTCCTTGTTAGATTTTTATTTTGATATATTATTAATTTGGTGGGTTACCAAAACATGTTAAAGTTTGACCGTTTTCTGTTTTGCGACTTGAATTGCAGTCTGCCTTCATCAACAGATACTATGGGAAGGCTCACAAGGTTTTATGACATGCCAAGAACAGGTTTTCTGTCAAGAGAGAGCATCTCTTACTTGCAACTGTGTACTTGGTGGTAGATTTTAGCTCTGGAGAGGAATGGAGCTGCACAAACAAGTAAATTTATCAAGGACAGGACTAGGCACTTCTTGCCTTCTAAATTATAAACTTGTTTTAGACTAGGGAAACGAGGGGAGAAAGCAGAAAAAATGTTGTTGTCACCATGCCCTTCTCTAGTCAAAAAAATAATTTGAGGTTCTCAATTTTGGTACCAACTAATTAAATTCACAAGCTGTGAATTCTTTGTTCCATTCTGGTTGAATGCTCATCAAATTTTAATCTTCTTTGGTAGTTGTTGCTACCAAATATAAGTCTTGTAAGATTGGTGGTTATGGATAGTTTCATTACTCTTTTAATAAATCAAAGATTTATGGTCAGTCGGCATCTGATTGCTATATGATGCATCTCTACTATGTTTATTCTGTTTCCAAACCTTGCAGTGATGCACAGATGCTGGTGTTCTTTACCGTTTAGAAGTCAATCTCTAGGCTCAAGGTACTTTTCATGAGTAATGATCTGTATCCCACCATGATTCCAGCACTGGTACTATCCTGCTCCTTATGCTGATAAATGTATCACATTTGTTTTCTACCCCTTCTCTTCCAACAGCAGCTGCTATATGCCTCAATTACTTAAACCGAATGTTACTTTGGTACAATGTGGACATGGACATTTCTATCTGCTCTTGACACTACATCATTTTGGTGGAATATATGGGATTATTAAAATTTTCTTGACTAGTGTGAAACCTTGTATGTCAGTTTAATCCTTCCTTCTAGTTCATCATATTTTGATTGGAATTTGAAATCAGTGCCTTGACTTAGTGTATAATAATCACATCAGTTTAGTTGTTTTTCCGCTAACTAAAGTATTTCTTTACTATAGAGTTGTTCCATTATAGCATCTTGATAAACTGCTAGTTAAGTGCTTTTTATTGGCTTTTTGGGCGGCATGATGCTGCCTGATCATTTGTGACCACTGAATTTTTGTCTCCCCAAATCTAGGAGAACAGAATGTGTAGGATGACAGAAACAGTTGATAAATGGAACTGGTTACCACAATGTCCCAAGATACTTTGCCTAGTCTTCGCTGGTAAAAACAAGCGAGATTGAACCAGAAAAGAAGAGAATGAAAATCATAAGTAGAATTCTAGAATGATCTGAAAGTATGTTTTGTATGTCATAAATAGTAGAAACTTTTGATTTTTTTGAGGTAATTTTGTGCATGAAAAATGAATAAATGAACATAGATGAAGCATCACCTTACCTTCCCTCCGTCCCACAGATTCTAGCATGGTTTGGATAGGTCATTTTTATTTTTATTTTTAAGAAGATATAATTTTAGTGACTCGACCAAGTTCTGGAATAATTTGTGTCATCCTCCCAAGTTTTTGAATCATTCGTGTGCATACTGCCAAGTTTTGGAATCACTAGTATTACCGCAAGTACTGAGCATGTAAAGTCGACCAGCAAGTAATAAGAGTTTTCAACTTTGATTCTGAAAAGAAAGGTGGGTAGCTAACCAACTGTATCATGGACCCTCAATTCGTGGATTCGTGTTTCACTTTGAGTTCCTCCATCTTAGAAATCAGTTCTCAGGATAAGTTCTGTAAATGGTACATCAGGGTATCAAAATCTCCAATGATTTCTTGAAATTTCTCATGAAACTATCCGACTTGGTCCCAATATGGACTTTGCCAAAGATTAACATGACAAATGTACCAGCATGAATTGGTTCAATTTTTGGAACTAGGAGAAATCACGTCATGACAACCAGAATCAATGCAAGGTTAAAGATAAAGCTTACGTTCACTTGAGANAGGTTAAAGATAAAGCTTACGTTCACTTGAGAATTGAGATGCTTGAAAGTAGGGTTGTACATGGTCTGATTTGGTTAGGGTATTTAATAAATGGAATCGTCGGGTCTAAATTTAATTATGGAACGGTTCGAATTCGGTTATATTCGATTTCGAGGTTCCGTACAATAATTAATTTTTTATATTATAATAATATTACATTAATTTGATTATGACATTTTCAATTTTAACTTTTACAAAATAATGTAATCTAATCTCGTGATATTTTTTGTAGATCTGACTGTTAAAATTATAGGAAGAAGAGGATGGTTAGTTCACAATACTAGAAAGGTATAAACGACACTATGATTGAATAAGAAATTTGGGTAAAATTTCGATCAATTTGATTAAGTTGGGTTTGACTGGAAATTAGAAATAGAAAAATGATTTATTTAAGATAAAAATTTTAAAAAATTAGGGAGATTCGGTTATTATTCGATTATTTGGTTCTTGGTCTATAATTGAGAATCGAATCAAACTCGTCGGTTCTCAATTCAAATATCCATTCGAGTATTTAATTTAAGAAGAATCGGTTCGGTTCGGTTCGATTCGAGTTGAGTTCGGTCCGATTCGGTTTGAAAGTTTTGTCTAGCTCTATTTGAAAGTCTAATTGATTCAATGTAATAAAAAAATCTAGGAATCTCTAGTGATTGTAAGCTGTGCAAAGATATGGCCCATTTGACATGATTTTTATTTTTGGTTTTTTTATAGAAGAGCTTTCGAAAGAAGTTATATTATTTTTATTTATAAACTAATTTTTAAAGGTACTTTGTATTTCGGAAGTGCTTTAGATGAAGCTACATTGGAATATTTTCTTCTTAAAGTTCTAACTATAGAAAACGTTTTCATAAAATTAGTTAAACGGGTCCAAAAGTAACTTTTGAATCTTAAAAGCTCATTTTGACTTTTTAAAAGTCATGCCAAACGGATCATTAAGAAAGTCTTTAATCAATCCATGGTAAAGAAAAAGAAAATAATGAAATATATAATTGTTGGAATAAATGGTTAATTATTTATAGGCGTGAATTAGAAAAGTGATGATATTTTGATAGGATGCAATCTAGACCATTACATATGAAAATATGTGATCTAATGGTCCATACAAAAGATGTATCCATTCGAAAAGGCATTTGAAAATTTATAGAAGGGACCTCTAGTTCCATATTTTTTATAGCAAATCAATTTAAGTAATTGATTTCTAATTCTCTCATTTCTTCAAAAATTCATTTTGTTGGAAAAAATTTTTGTTCGAATTATTTTCAAAAATAAAAAAAATCCCATCCAAGCATTTTAGTTCGTGTCTATTCTGTTTGAGAAGAATATTGTCGACACTTTGGTTCGATCGGCAGTTTTCGTATAGTGTAGTACCTATTTTGGAAAAAAAAACGTTGTATCTTGAGAGACAAATGCTCAATTATCATGTTGGTACCGAGGCAGAAGACAGAATCTGTCTTAAGGAGATTTGCGACGGTGTATATCGCTTCATTTTCATTCTATTTTTTTAATTGTACTAATCATTAATTTGACAACAATATTAACGCTCTGGAGGGTGTAACTTGAGACTCTATTCTCTAATCATGCGTTGTTACAACAGTAAGAAGTCAAGAACAATTTAGCATAAGTTTCAACAAATCAATATATAGAGTACTTGCTATAAATAGCTGTTTTAGGTCCCCCCCCCCCCCCCCCCCCCCCCCC